GTTAATCTACATGCACGTGCGGGCCCCAATCCCCAAAATTGGCGCCATACCCCGGGTGCTACCCGCGTACGGGCCCCCCAAAGTTTTTTTGGGGTCAGTTCACAACTCGAAGATCTGAGAAACTAGAAGGCTGAAATCTTGGGGTAATGTTCCCCGCCCAAGCCGCCATTAGTGGGCTCAAATCCAGCCGCCGGGTAAGCGTGGTACCCGCGTACGGGCCACCCAAAATTTTTCCCGCGCAAATTCATAACTCGGGTTTCTGAGGTGCTAGAAAGCTGAAATTTTAGGGGAATGTTACCCGTCCAAGCAGGTGCTAATGAGCTCAAATCCAGCCCTCGGGTAAGCGTGGTATCCGCGTACGGGCCCTCCAAAATTTTTCCCGCGCAAATTCATAACTTGGAGATCTAAGAAGCTGGAAGGCTGAAACTTTACGGGAATGTTCCCCGTCCAAGTAAGTCTTAACGAGCTCAAATCCAGACACCTGGCATACGTCGTACCGCGTGCAGCCCGTGAAAATTTTTTCCAGTAAGTTGCTAACTCAGGAGCCAGGAAAACTAGAAAGCTGAAATTTTACGCGGGTGTTTCCTACCAGTTCTGGCAACCAATCTTAATTAGTTTAGCTTGAAGCATTTGCCGAAAAACCGATTCCGATAATGACAAAAATTGCGGGGAACTCTGCAAAAAACGCATCTTCGCACGGGCAGCCCGTGCGTTGGCCAATTTTTATATCCTCTACACCGCTGTGACTATAGCACTAAATCTGCTAATTCGCATGCCATTTTAGATCCCATCAAAAAATCATTTACAAATCGAATTCTTCGCGAAGTGCATTTTTCACCAGTACAGACCATCGTTCACGTGGTTCATCCCATGTTACTTCGACCTTCTTTTCATTGCCCGCCACAGCTGTTACAGTAATTTCACCATCGAACATTTCAATGCCGTCCTGCAATATAAATTTTTGCATCAAAAAAAAAAAAAAACAAAATTCCTTGACAATGTTATCTGCGCAAATAATCTTACAGTAATTTTAATTTTAGATGATGTGTGTTTATGCAAAAAGTAAGGGTTAAAAAGAAGGGAATATCATGCATGTATCAACTGCTTGAGTGTTTTCGTAAATTTTCATGCGCACATAGATCCATCCGTCTACTGTCGTCAGTTGATGTAATGCTAAATCAGTTATTTAGAGAGGTGGAAACCAATGTGGTATTGCAGAGATTCCAAGAATTTTCATTAAAAAAAGTTACCTCTTTCATGGTCAGGTTCGAATCGAACGTTTTCAGTTTGCTTGAAAATCGTTCCCAGTTTACTTCCTGAACATCAACAAATTCACTGAATGCAATGGTGTGCAGCGGCATGCCCACATGTTTGGCGGCCTGTTCGGGCGTGATCACTTCCAGTTGATTAGTCTGAAAAAGTGCACAATCAGTTTATTGGCCATACTCAAATTGCAGTAATAAGTAGTATTTCACAAAATCAACACTGATTTAAGGGAAGTTTCCCAAAATTACTGAAATGAGGTGTAACTACATGGCCAGCCAAAGCAACTGTATAAGTTTCCTAGCATCCAGCCAATTTCTTCAATGGCTATCCACACCTATACTGTGTGCACACATTGCTTCTATCCGACCCTCCCATTTGGCAAAACCCCATAATTCGTCTTACATGGCGAATTCTAAGAATCTAATCGCTGCGCTCCTCTTGCCTAATCATAACTAATAATACCAGTCAGGCTACGAAGCCTAGTGCAAATATCTTGAAAATTCTTTTTATTTCTTTAAAATAAAAATATAATATACAAATTTCCTTTCTTCTTCTTTAGCGTTTTTATGCGTTTTTTGCAGCAATGCAATGCGAAAAACGCATATTGACGAGAGGTTGTCTG